CCCCCACCAAAAAATCCAAATTGCAACAGACCATCGTCGTGGTGCCGGCCACCACCATCCCCCACTCCAACCTTCTTTCTCCAACTCAACACCACACCCCACTCTCGCTTCCACCTCCACCTCCATCCCACCCAAAAGCTCGATTCTTGTCCAATTTTCCCTTTTATTTATTTTGATTTTTTCCCTGTTAAATCCAATTTTTTCCCCTTTTAATGAAATGAAGATGTGGATCCGAGGTTCCTCTCAGCGCAAATGAGATTATTCTCAACCTTGATAGTTAAAATGAGCAAGCTGAAGTTTCTTGCAGCTGACATGATCGCTCAATCCAAACTCTTCTCATCAATTTCTCCAAACTGAAATCTGGTATTTCTTTTTTGGGTATTCTATTTTTAGACAGCAGAAAATAAAAATGATTTCACCTAAAAAGACCCAAAAGTTGAAAACAAGAGATCAATCAAGAAAATTGCAGGAAGTTTATGATGAAGATGACGCACCATCATGTTGATTTTCAAAACTTTTGCAATTTGGATTGTGGGGGGGGGGTTGAGAAGAAGATGATGCCCACATTTTCTCTTTCATTTTTTTTTTTATGGTTTATCTATTTAACTTATTTAATTAATGGGATAATATACAAGTTACTATTTTGCCCTTACTAATATGGTAAAAATTGGAGTCAAAATCAGTTCTTTGGTCAACTAACGGTGAAATGGATGGATTCCATCCATCTGGACTTCGGCTGTATATTTATGAAAGGTTTGGGACCTTCGCTGGCACAAAATGAAGGTTTGAGCAAAATCTACTAATAAACGAAAGGTTTAGTACCGCTGCTACAATTTTCCCTAAGTAATATTTCCAAAACGACATAGTAAAAAGAAATAGCTGCATCAAAATCATTTGAGTAGCTGATACACTCCAATCTACAGTGAATTTTTGTTGATTATACCAAGTGATCAACTTTGTGTTTTATTATGTGAATGGAGGTGCTAAAAGAGTGAATTTATAAAGGGGAAATTTAATAACTAAGAAGTTAAATATTACTCATTTCAAAATTAAGAACCAAAGTTTCGAATTTCAAAAATTAGAATTTTATTAAAATTTAGTAATGATTTTAATTGATTAATTATATATTTAATTAATTTAATATATTAAGATCATAGTTCTATACAATTTGATAACAAATTAACGATTTAGTTAATCATATATTATTTTTTGATCACGAATCAAAAAATTTATAGATTACAAATTATTTAACGGTCACAAATCAAACATTTTATAGATCACAATTTGTTCATCGATCACAAATAAAAAAAATTAAGTCACTTTATTTATCAATCACAAATTTTATAAGTCATAATTTATTATACGATCAAAAAATATCAAATTATTGGTCACAAATTAAAAAAAAACTTAGGTCACATTATTTTTTTGTCACAATTTATCCTTTTTATTGATCACATATTTTTTATTAATCATTGATTAATCAATTTAATAGTCACGCACGATCAACCAAATTATTTGTGACATCTACCTCACCACTGTCATCAGCTGCAGCACCACCAAAACTGCAATGCGCCAGAACCACTACCGCCATTCCCACAGCATCACAGAACCATCACCACCACACCCACGAATCACATAACCACTACCACCACACTCCATAGCATCACAGAACTCATCACACCACCGCCACAACCATAACATCACAAAATCGCCACCGCCATACTTATAGCATCACAAAACTCACACAACCACCACACCCACATCATTACAATAGCACACCACTGCAACCGCACCGCACCGCAACTCCCAACCCCATCTTACCATTTTGGGCACCACCAGATGTAGCCAAAACGCCCATCATTCATGGCCTGCACGACCACCACAGCCGTGACGGCTTTGTTTACGAAATATTTTCTTTCGATTTAAATTACCGCAAGTGTACGGTTCGTTAACAAGTAATAAAGTGGATTCAATGAGTCCGAGTATCGTCCCACAGAGATTGGTTAGTTCAATTTTACTTATTCGACCTTAACCGAAACCAAATTACTCAAAATGAATGTGGACCTAATTAAAACTCTAAAATTGGAAAGAAAACCCTACTTATGCAGCTTTTATGATTGTAATGAAATTAATAAGCAAAACAATAATTTAAAACTTTAAAATGAAATCAATTGTTGAGAACGCACGTTTGTTGTAATCAATAGAAATTAAACACACTAGGATCACGATTTCCCATGCAATTATCACTTTAAACTCTAGTTTCACAATATGACAACATAATTCAATTGTTGACGAATCAATGTTCCTAAATCTATCCAATACTCTCTCTCGAGATGTATCAAACCTATTTCTACATACCACCGGCCTATATTTCTATGACAAGTGCATATGTAAAAATGCATGTAGTTTTATGAACACTTAAAGATTCACGTAGGGCATAGCGGTATATTT